AAAAAAAAAAAAAAAAAAAAAAAACGCATCTGAAACGAATATTTCTTTTATAATCTGAACATTCATTATTTTTCTTTGCTTTGGCGATTCATCTTGCTATGTCCCTTTGTCCAATTATACGCTTCTCGTACCGTAATCAGCTGGATTGTGGTATACAGGACATGGTAGTTTGACGTTCTCCAAATAAGAAACCAGCTGGCTGGTTGCACCGTGAAACAAGCAATCTCCGTTGGCCAATACGTAAACCTGAAATTATGCAAATAAGATTAAAAGAAAAAAACGAAGAAGAGAATCGATCGCCACAAGCGTACGAAATGTAAATCTTTAATTTGTTGAATAAAACATTAAGGGACAGAATCAAACATTCAACTATGACGTCAACTTTGACTCGGCAGGAAAGATCCACGGTAAAAAATACCTCGTACCAAATCAAATAACTGAAAGATCGACGCGCTGGGTTGATGAATCGTGCAGACGATCGTCCTTCCTTGTCGTGAGAGTAGTTTCAGCAAGTTCACTACTTGCGTACACGATGAGCTGTCCAAACCTCTGAAACATTTGCCGCATTTAATAATAATAATTATTATTATTATCTGTACAAATGTGTATGTTTATGCAATTCTATAGTTTTCATCGATGTAATTAATAAAAATTAAGTAACTGCTACGGACTACGGATTTTCACACATTTATACAGGAAGAAAACTTGCAGAGAATACACGTAACATGATAAACTATGTAAAATATCTGATGTGATGTTACAATATTTGGTTTTACATAAAATAACTTTTCTATCTCTTCTCGTCGTTACATAAAAATCCGTAACACTGTTACAGGTATTGATCAAATATCAAATAATGATTAACTTCTTGTGCACGATCATTACAGAATGCTGTAAGCATAGTGTAGAGCATCGTAAAGTTCGATGGATAATGTTATGTAATAAAATTCAGGTGGGGAAAAAGGAGCAATAAAAAAAGATGTTAAGTGTCGCAATTTTTTTTTTTTTTTTTCATAATCACAATGTGGCTATAAAAATTCTTAGCGTTGGCACACATATTTTTTCTTTCAATGACACGTTTTCTTGCCAGGTTCTGCATTTCGTTTCCGTTAATGTCAAGTTTTTTTCAATTTACACGAGACAATATTTACAATTCATACTGTATTACATATATTCAATACATTCTTACGCTTTCTATTCTAATTTCTTCTAATCTACAAATGTATAAATATTCGCGGTCCGTTTGCAACAGTTACAAATTTATAAATACATATGCATGGCTCGTGAGAATTAAGTAAATCAATTTTCACAACTCAATTAATTTTCATGATACAGTTGAACTTACGTGGTCGGTTCATCGAGGAACACAACGGTCGGATTATTAACTAACTCCAAAGCGATGGATAGTCTTTTTTTCTGTCCGCCGCTTAATTTTCCCGTTAGAGTGTTCACATGCTCGTACAGGCCCAAAGTAGTTAGGATTTTTTTAATCTGAAAACAGAATATTCTGTTATTCCGTAAATTTCTGTTTTATTGTATTGCAAATGTGTAAGTTTAATAATTACAGTCTAGACGAATGTGGTTATGCAACTGATACTGATGGTAATAACAATTATTACGAGATTACGAGATTAACAACACGTTTGACAAAGTAAACGACTATGCTTCGAGAATAATCTGTTCGATTAAGACATTAATTGCAAAAGACATTAGTAAAGGAATGTTCAAAGAATCATTATAAAATTGATTATAAGATCATTACAAGAGTATTAATTTTTGTTTAATGGAACTGGTTAAGGCCAACGATGCTTATTATTTATGACGTGGACACGCTTCAGAGTGTTGTTCATCGCGTAAACAGTTTAGAGAACGTGCAACCAGTTCTTCCATAAATCTCAATTAGTTTCGAGTGTCAGGACTATATTTTTTCCGCTCAATAGCAATTGCCATATCGTAAAGAAAGTGTGTGCCAGAGGATGGGATGATTTTCAGAAGATGATGGCCTCCAATGTTTCCCCCTGCCTCCCCACGCGAAGTCAAAACCTGCTTCACACTTTCTGATTGGTCTTAACACGTCTCTCGTTCTACAGTTTAACCTTGGAAGAACGAAAAGATCTTCTTATAAGAAAACTGTGAGAAGAAGAGTCAGTCAGTGATTCACAGAAAGAATAATGTAAGAAGTTTACAGTCAGTCAGTCAGTAACTCAACAAGATTCAGTCTTCACTCAGTCAATCTCAATGGTCACTCATTGTCAGTCGAGTCATTTAGTCAATCAGAGTCATTCTCAGTCAGTCAGTATTCAGCTAAGCGAATCAATTAAATTCAGTCGTCTTTAGCTTAGTTACTCAGATGAAATTAGCTATCTGGATCAAGCAGAAGCAGTAGGAGCATCTTGAGAAATAAATTTGTCGTCAAGCATTGAGTTATTCATTCCCACATGAGTGAGTAGTCCAATCGTTTGTGTGTCCTTAACAACGATATTTCCAATGTGATTTTTTATTCTCAAGTCCATTGTTCAGAACACTTTCAAAACGCTTTACTTTTTGTACGTGCATTCTCTTTTAGATAACAGGGATTTCGAAAGACGAGCACAAACTCTTTAAATTAATGATGATGATATTGTTAATAATCGATACTTAAGAAATAATGTCTTGCAAAATGTCATTCGCTGGTGTTTAAAAAAAATCTTCCTGGCAACTCGAAGACATTTACATATCATGCATACTTACTATCGTTTCCTTCTTACTTTTGGAGATGTTGGTAGGCAACTTGAGGTCAGCTGCGACAGTCATGTTCTCGATGACCGTCAACAGAGCTTCCAAACGATCATCTTGCGTGATGTACGCGCTACATCTGTAAAACGACACAATGTCAAAGTTGAGGATACATGACACACAATTTTATTTGCAACCCACATAGATTGCGAAATCGTTATTTATTGTTTCTGATCTAGTTGTGTTGCAAACAATTACCAACAAAGTATTTTTAGAAAGTGTTTCTCAAGCACTCGATATTTTGATTCAATATAATACGTGTTTGTAAAAGTATTAGAATATTCATTTTCTAGCGTCAATGTAATTTCCAAAAGTATAAAAAGAGAAAACATAGAAAAATAACTTATGTTGTATACTTGACTGAATCAATAACTATAGAGTTCGTGTAAATCATTTTTCATATGAAAGTATACAAAAAAAAAAAAAACAACATTATTTTGTACAATCTTAGTCCAAACAACTTTTCAGAGGTGTGAAGAAACATTTGCAATATTTCCATTGTCCAGAATGTTTCTGTATGTATCACGTTAATGATCTTAATATGCGTATCTTAATACTAACAACAATAAGGATTATAAAATCCACGATTACCGGTTAATATTCTCCATTGTATCAATCTTGATAATTTTTAAAAATTCATTAATTACCCACAATGATATTTAAGATTAAGATAGGCAGATCTTCGATCACGTAAAATGTTCTATTATCATATTCATGATAAAGAGAAATGTACGTATTTCCAGTGACATTTACTTTCGGAATGAATTCATCTGCCGAACGCAGCCGTTGACGTAGACGTTTCCATTCACGCCAGTCGTCCTGAATCCCGACAGGATATCCAACAAGGTCGACTTCCCTGCCCCGGATGGGCCCATTAAGGCAATTAAATGTTTCGCTGGAAGTCTTCCATTGATTCCGTGTAATATCTCCTTTCGACCTGTAATGTGCCTCATTGTCAGTTAAAGAACACACCAGACGCGTTATTAATCTGCATGAAAGTTAATTACCATGAGGCGGCTGTTTTGTACAAATTTACATTTTTCATCGAATGTAATTGGAAAAGAAGAGTGAAAGGGAGAAAGCTAAATAGCGATTATTTTAGCTACTAAAGATCATAATGTGTGTTTAATTTTAAATAATAATTGACATATATAGATTCATAAACATTCGCGGTCCAGTCATTTTGATCACTGCGTGTATTGTGAATAGAAAGTACAAACGTCAATTAACACAAGTAATATTGAAATTGAATTCTTATCGTGGATTATCAAATTAAGTAATAAATTTCCCTAAAAAGCTTAAAAGGCCGCCATATTACTTTATTTTAATGATTTAACATTTAATTATAAAGATAATTATTTTATATTAATATAATAGGGTATCTAATCCTAGTTTAATATTTAATTTTCATATATTTTAATATATAAAATTATATATACATAAATAATTTAAATTTCACCTATAATTATTAATTTTTATATATATATATTATTTATTTTAATAAAATTTGTTAATTATTAACTTGTAATGTAAGTTTAACCGCTATTGCTGGCACTTTAATTTATAATTATTAATTTTAATTCCCTTATTTAATTTTCATTAATTTTCATATAAAGAATTTTTTACCAATTTTATATAATTTATATAATATGTTTAATTTTAATTAATTATATTTAAAATAATGTTTAATTTAATTAATAATTTAACCATAATTATATCTTTTGAAAGTTCAATTTTCAAAGGGGAGAAAATCCATTTTCTCATTTCAAATTCTGTGAAATACAATTGCTGGCCGGTCGCTCGTTCTTTACTAAAAATATAGTAAAGTTTCCGCGCCAGTATTACTTATAGATGAACACGCGTCCAATTTGATGAAATTTCAAAATATATTATATATAGGCCAATTTGATGAAATTTCAAAATATATTATACATAGACAGATAAAAGTTGTACGATAAAAATATTTCGATTATTTCCCCGAGTCGTTGTGCGTATGTCTATAAATAACTGACACAGGCCAAAGGGATAATGGGGCAAAGGAACAAGGAAATGTTAATGTATGTACTGATGCAACACAAACCTTTCTTACAACCTAATGACACGGTATACTTGATGTCCTCGAATACAATATCAACGGTATTCACCAAGTCGTTTTCCATGAGACGTTCTTCATCCTTAATTTTTACACTGTCTTCGTCGTTCTCTGATCGCCTAGGCAGTGTGTGAACCTTTGTTTCGGCTGTATTCGTCTCCTGGCCATTGTTCATCTCGTGCATCAGTACTCCCATCGTCGAGTATTCTGCACGAGCTGGTGAAACGGCCGGAGAGTATTATTATTTTTCCTGAACGCTCACCAATTGGTTGAACCGAACATCGGCGCTCAAACACCGTGAAACTGCAACCAGGAGAGAAATTGTCGTTATCGTTAATAGAAGAAGGAAAAGGCACAAGAAGAGATAATATATATTTGTATAATGAATCGCCGCGCGATCGATTTAAAAATTTGAAATTTACCGCCAATCGGTGAGAATAGATAACATGCCTATAGGGTGATTGAAAAGGAAAAAAAATTGTTACATCTAAGTTATAGTCATTTTTTTGACTATACGATCTTGGAACGATGGAGGAACGAAAGTTAATTTCTGTTTAAAAATAATAATTTTTGCAACTGCAAAATTCACACGCATTATTGCGTTTGATTATTATTATTATACAAACCGTTCAGAATTTTTCACCTCTTTTCTCTGTACTTTAATTAAAAAATATATATGATTTCTTAGGAAATCGCGTGAATTACTTTATATATAGATACATACACATTAATACTGCAATGCAGCAGTTCATTATCATTTTTTTTTTTTTTCTTTTTTAATTTAAAAAAAACTAAACGACGCAACTTCAGTTTATGTGAAACGGCAAATTCTGAAATAAACGTGACATTCATATTTACTAGTCAGATCTGGGGCACAAATTGCATATTCAACTATTTCCGGCAGATGGAGGAATTTATCTTATTTATATGTGACTATCTATATCTGCTTGAACTCATTATTCCGAGGATTGGAATATTCAATAACTCATAGAATGTGAAATAAAGTGATATAATAATAAAATAATTTTTTTACCTTCACACTGTAGTACATTTAACATTTATCACAATAGACAAGTTTCATTTAATTCGTTAATTAAATATAAATTATATATATATAAATTATGATAAATTATAATAAATTATATATATAAATTATAATAATATAATATAAATTATATATATATATTATAGTTGTAATAACTATAATTCTATTGTAGCAATTTCATTTCACAAAATAACTAATTTTTCAATTATTTTATTTTATTTTATTTTATTGAAATAATGGAATTATTTTATTTTATTGAAATAACAGAACTCAACGAGCAATAATAAATAACTTAAACTAAATGACTGACTTCCGCAGAAAAATAATAATTGATTATTAATCGATGATTAGTGTTATGACTTGAAAAAATGTTTTACTTGCTTCTCATAAATTGTTTAATATCCAAGTTAATTATACGACCTTATAATTACAAACATCTCGTTCGCAGTAACGAATTAAATTAATTAAATTAATTAGCTTAATGCGCAATTCGCAGTAACTATTTAAGTTGATTAACTTAATGCACTATATAACTATAAAGTAAAAATTATCGGGCAAATGATTTTGGAGCAATATTTTACTTAAAAAAAAAAAAAAGGAGGAGGGAAATTTAGAAAATTTTCCGCTTCTGTGCAATGTGTTAGAAGAATAACACGCATTACACGAACGAACGTCATTCTCAAAAAAAAAAAAGAAAAAAGATATTAGTTGTCATTTCGTGAAACGTAATGATACGTATAAGAAATATAACAGGAAGATATAATTCAAATAACAAGTACTAGAAACGATCTACGGTACTAGAGACGATCATTTGCATTATTTATATTATTTATAGTATTAGATGACAATATATAAATTTTGATTAATGATTAATGAAACTAAGCTATGCTTGGCAGTGGCCGCAGAAATTAAGTAAATATTATTAGAACTGTGATTTTCTTTCAACTTTTAGTCATATGTACATGTCTATCTTATATCATATGTCTATATCTAAAAATGAATCACGCACAATTAGACTGCAGATTATTATGCAAATCCACATTTTTTTCAGTATACAATTAAAGGAGCAAAAAAGATAGAAACTTGTTTCACCGGCGAAATATTACAGAAACCAGCAGAATTAATTGTTTCTTAATACAAACATTATTAGTTATTATACAGTGGTATAGTGATACACTTTTATTTATTAATAACAGTGCGAGATTTTGCATAAGACGTGACAGACCAAATAATTAAATAATTAAATAATTAAATAATAATTAAATAATAGTTAAATAATTAAATAATAATTAAATAATAGTTAAATAATTAAATAATAGTTAAATAATAGTTAAATAATTAAATAATTAAATAATAAGTAAATAATTTAAAATAATTCGAAACCCTGAGAAATATGAAACACACATATATATATAATAATCTAAATGTACAAAAGTAATATAAATCTTTTACGATTTAATTTAATAGAAGGGAAGTAACGTACGTTTTAATGTTGTTATTAAATAATTAAATAATGTTTCCACTACCTAGAAACTAATTGTTCTAATGTATTAAAAAGCATATAGTTCTATAAGAAAATATACGCACATATATAATGTAATAATTTATCACCTTAGTATCCGGATTCTAAATCATATCATGATCATAATTATATCATAATTGTATGATATATATTACATCACAGTCATAATTGCTATCATTGCACACCTTTGTCGATTTATTTCTTTCAAACTGATTTCTTTTAGTTAACAGCATCTTCAAATTGTCCACGTACAATTTTTTACATTGAACATTGAACATATGCGTTACACGTACGGATATGTACATAAGTACACAAAGAAAGAAAACACGAGGGAATCGAACGACATTGAAACGATTTATCATTGAGCAAACTTCCTCAAACAGAACAAAGCGCCCTATCTTCCTGACGATATGTCTAATCTTGTTTATGGAGTTGAACGACAATCATTATCGCAGAAGTTCAAGTTTGAGCTCTGGTAACGATGTTCGATGTTCTAACGATTCGACAGGCGAACCTAATCCAAACCAAATTTAACTGATAATTTCGAAAGTGGAACAAGAGTTTGATAAAGCATGCCTGATAAGCTTGTTTCGTAATTACTTGTGTTTTGCAATTACATCTTGTAAATACTTCCATTGGCACGAATCTATTGGAACGAAACGTTCAAATAAATATAAATAAATATGATAAGCGCGACTGTTGTCATACAGAAAGTCAGTTATTTCCATTTCCGAGACAATAGCCATAAATTATGACGATTGGTCGAAGTGCATCGCGAATCTAATCGCGCGAAATGAATCAGCAAACGAAAGTCCAGTCGGGAGATCATTGAAGATCCAGGCTGACTTGTTTTGCAAATGATGTGAATTGAAGTTTAGTATTGTAAAAAAAAAAAGGAAACGAAGGAACCTTGATTTCAAAAAGAAAAAAAAACGTTCAGGTTGTCGTCCATAAAACAAGGTTGCATGATGAGTCCACTGTAAGCAAAAAAGATCGACAGAAAGAGCAACAATTTATACGACTTCAAAGAAATCGAGCATGAACATGCATAAATAATCGGATACAAAGTGCAATTATTCCATGATGGTCTAATAATTCTACGTTGTATTTATTTCATAATTATTTATACAGCGTATAAATTTATTATTCTCAAGTGATAAATCTTTCATGTTTATACCTTTATTATACCTTATACCTTTATTACGTAATTATAATTTTTTCCATACTATTAATCGGTTAATAATTGTGTTTTCCTCTTAACAAGTATTATTTTGAATAACAATGTCAGTGTAAATTGCACATCATTATACATCCATATCCATCTAAGTGGCCATATATTAAACTATAAAATCTTAACTATGACAATTTACAATCCATACATTATCCTTACGTACAATAACAGGCTAAGACTTGGCTAATGGATTATTATCGCGCTATAGCTTTTTCAAGCGAATTCAGAATCAATGATTCGTCTCCAAAATGTTCGCACATTTTTAGTGTCTAAATGATCTGTAACAATGATTATCATCTCTTTGAATATCAATAGCAATCTCTTTGGATTATTTTTGCTAATTTTCCGGAATCTACCAGTTTCTCCCTAATTTTTTTAGTTCCCTAATTTTTTCTTTTCAAATTCTACCATCGATCAATCAAAGAACATCTCTCATTTCCTTCTGAACGTGAATTTCTAAATTTATCGATACACTCCACTTAAATTTAGTTACAATTGTTATAAGTTATATTTAGACCGCGGACTCTTATGCAGTCTCATAGTTTCGCAAACGAGTCTAAAGGGATGGAAGTGCAGAAATTTGTTTCGTCTGAAAAAAAAAAAAAGAGTTTTGAATTCCTTTGGTACAGAGAACTTTGAACAATTCCGAAAGGAAAAAACGACGAGAATTCGACAAATTCGAAATTTCTTGAATTCCTATCGCCCTGTGTGATATACTTGGAAAAAGTACGTAACGCAGGAGAGTATGACTTGCACGAACGTTTCGTTGCACAACTTCAATTTCGCTCTTTGTCGAAAAATTGATCGACTACGAGCGTTTTCTACATAGGTTTGTGCAATGTATTGCACAAATATTACCCACGATTATTGCACGCATGCCACTTTCGCTGGGATCATCCGAACGACTGCGAAGTTCACAAGTAAAAGAGAAGCAAACTCGGGAATATCAAACTACGATTTTCCATGCATTTGTAGAAAACTGCAATATATTACGCAGTATGCACACGATATGGAGAAGTGAGTAAGATAACGTGTTATTTTATTTTAGTAAATTAATACTATGTAGATATACGTACGTACGTGTGTAATACTACGTAGGTATAATGATGATAGATCAGTTGATTGAATATATATATTTTGTATATATACAAAATATATATATTGTATGTATAAACATATGTAATATATAATAAATATATTATAAAATAAATATAATATAAATATAATAATATAATAATAAATATAATAATAAATATAAATATTATAATAATATATACAAAATATATATATTGTATGTATAAACATATATAATATATAATAAATATTGTATATATTATATATAATATATAATAATTATATTATAAAATAAATATAATATAAATATAATAATATAATAATAAATATAAATATTATAATAATAAATATATAATAAACATAATATATTGCATATATTATATATAAAAGTAGTAATGTACTTTTTAATTAAGTATTCGCCTATACAGCAT